TAGTGACACCCCATTAAGATTGTACCAACACAGTTTAATCTTATAGCTATTATTGATTTTCTAAATATTATTCTATCTCTTTTAACAATGAAATTAATTACAAAATCTAGAATTTTATGAATGATCCTTTTAATACATATCTCTAGAATACTTCAATACTTTTTTTAAAAGTGTGTGTCTTTAGAATTTTCTAAATACCATTATAAACTATAATCTCAATTAAAGCCCATTTTTTTATGGGCCAAAAATCAATTTCAATTTTTAGCATACTCATCATCTAAAGAAAAAAAATGTGTGTTTTTCCTGTATAAGATAATAATGAAAACTTCTTTTACTGACAAACACTAGATTCACTCATAAAGACTATTGGTTGGTTTGAATAATAACAAACCATTTATTCATAAGGCGGCTTTAATTACCAGTACAGACTCAAAAGGATCTTTAGAATTAGCTTTCACACTGGGTCAAAAGTGCATTGCATAGAATGTACAAGAAAAACTAGTTAAATAAAAAGACAAGGGAAACAACCCCGAAGTTGAAGATACTATTGAACTATTTATGTGGAGATGCAACTAGGAGTAATGGATTTTTCCTAGTCAAGGCCAAGCCAATTGATTCTTCCATGTCCAAATCCTCTAGCCTTTTGCCCCCTGGAAGGGTCCAATCAAAGTGATAGAGAAGTTTGGCAAGCACAATTTCAATGCTGACCAAACCAAAAGTTGCCCCTGGACAAATCCTTCGCCCTCCACCAAAGGGCATGTATTGAAAACGAGAAGCATTGAAATCTTGCTCATCTTCTTCAACCCTCTCTGGTATAAAAGTATCGGGATCTTTCCAAAACTTTGGATCTCTCATGATGGCCCAAGCATTAATCAAAAGTCTACTTCCAGCTGGTATTGTGTACCCGCCGAGCTCGACTGTTTCAGAGCAATATCTGGGCACTAGGATTGGAGCAGGTGGTCGTACTCGAAGAATTTCTTTGATAACCATTGTTAAATAAGGAAGATTGGTGATATCACTTTCATGTAACTTAGTCCTTCCTTTAAATGTCTCCCTTACCTCTAATTGAGCCTTACGCATAGCCTCAGGATGTCTAACGAGTTCAGCCATGGCCCACTCCATGATAGCAGATGTGGTTTCTGTTCCTCCCAAAATCAAATCCTGCCAGAGGAGAAAAATAAAAAATAAAAAAATAAACATGATTAAAAGACAACCTAGCAATTAATTTCACAGACAAAAGAAACTCAGAAATTACAATGAGAAACAGTACTTACAACAACAACACCCTTGAGGTTATCCATTGTTACCGATGCATCCAGCTCCCCTGTATTCTTCAATCGCAGCAGAACATCAACCAGATCCTCATCCGGCTCATTAATACTGTTACTAATGCTCTTCGTTTTATGTTCCTCAAACACCTCATCCAAGACTGTATCCAAAACTTTATGAACTTTTAACAAATGACGCCTCATGCCATTAATTTCACCCAAAAAACTATACGATGGAAATAAATCAGCCAAGTCAAAACCAGACATATATTTGAACGTGTCTTTAACTGCCGAAAATATTTTGTGCTGGTGAGTGCACTCCTTTCCAAAAGTAGTCCGAGAAATAGTCGTGTTTGCGACGGATAAAAGCAACTCTGTCATGTTCACAGTTAATCCATCCGCCGCTCTAATTTTCTCAATGAGATTGTTACCTTCTTCATCCATGATGGTTCTGAAATGCTTGACGCGCTTGGAGCTAAACAATTCAATCGTGCATATTTTACGTAGCTGCGCCCACAGTTTGCCGTAAGGAGCAAAGACGATGTCGCCATTGTTATAGAGAATGATCTTGCTCCCCATGAACTGAGGCCGGGAAGCGAAGCTCAAGTCATGCGATTTCATGGATTCAGCTGCGAGCTCTGGTGATGTGATGACCATGAGGTCGACCTCACCGAGTTTGAGGTGGAAGAGAGGGCCGTATGTATTTGCGAGCCTTCTCAACCGGTGGTGAACTTGCTCGCCCATGAGGTGGTGCAGGCTTCCAATTATGGGGAGTTTCCACGGACCTGGAGGGAGATTATATGCACTGCTATTTTTTTGGAACCAGAGCTTTTTTATGAAGAGGATTAAGAGGATGGAAGTGATGATGGGAAGCGTTGTGGACAACTCTGGGGTCTCCATGTTTTGCAAATATGGGAATAGCTGTTGAGATTTTGATTAAGTGCTGGATTGGTTGGGATGTATATATAAGCAGCGCGAAAGCCGCGTAATTTCATATTTTGCTTTCAACCGTTGGACTGGTAGATCGTTTGATATGCGCATGCGGCGTTGCAGCGGGCTTGAAAATGAATTATGTTTGAAATTTTTTTTTCCCAGGTATGGGTCATTAGCGGTTGACCTTTTTGAACGGCCCATCCATTTTTCTCACGTTGTCCAATTGAATGGCAATTTCCTATTTTGGAAATTTAATATGCATACCATACAATTCCTATGTATTTAGATATCCAACATTAAAAGTTTACGAATTACATGTATAATACTTTGATGAAAAGTTTTATTTTACTTTTAAAATGTTAAAAATAATAATATTTTTATGTGATATTAACGGGTTAAGTCTTATTATAACTGAAATCTGTGAATCGGAGCAAAGTCCTGGTCTAGTGGTGACTAGGCGTCGGGCCAGTGGCGCCTAAGCATTAGTCCTAGTCCAGAAGTGTGCAATACAACGAGCTTGGAAAGTAGGCACCAGAATTGTAGCACCTAAGAGCCAAGCAGGCAGCGTATAGGCGTCGAGCCAACGTCATTTACGCCCAAATGGAGTAGATTTCAGTAGATTTCTCAAGAACATAGAAAGTCGGCGCCATACTGCCAGTGCCTAGGCACACGATAGTTGAGCCTAAATATCACAACCTGCATCAAAAGTGTGTGGTGCCAAGGCCCCAACCATTAGGCGCTAGAATAAAAAAATTGGCAGTCTTAAGCAGTTTAATGTTTCATTTCACTTGAGGAAGTATTTAAATGATGAAATGAAGTTCCAGGGGATTTTTCCTAACTTTTCTGCCATCTTAAAATGGGGAACTTGGAAAGAGAAGACATAAGAAGATCAACAAAGTGATGAGAAGTGAGATTTGAGAGAATTTGTGAGACTTGTGCATGTAATTTTATCATCTCTTAATTGTAAAGAAAGGGAAATAAGTTTTCTGAAGTTTTACTATGTGTTTCGTATTATTCTACTATTTAAGACTTCTAGATTTGAATTTCCCTTTCAATCAAATGAACAGGTTTATGTGGTCAAGCATGAGTAGTCAGTAGCTATCTATTTATCCCTTGGGATTGGGAAGTAGGATTGATGGGCGTGAAAGTTGATTTATAGTTTTGTGCATAAACTTATTTGATGATGATTAACTTTGTGAACTCCTTGTACATTTTATTTTGGCCAAGCAATATGTTAATATATGTCGTGAATAATGAGTCTCAAAAGAGAACATCCAAGTTAATCATTTAGCCTAAGAGAATAGTGATATATGCTTAAGGGTAATGCTAACTTTTGGAGAGATTTTAGTGACTGGGTTAGATTGGGTTTACGGAAATAAATCAAAATTTTAACCAAACTTCCTTATATACTAGAAGGGG